TGCGTGTAGATGGACGGTGCTAATCAGTGATCCATGTTAGGATGAAGCAACGAGGAATCGGACTATGGTGCCGCTGCACTTGTATCGGAGTAACCCGGCCAGTCTGAGGAAACCGCAGTGGGGGATTGATACGTCGGTATTGAGTCCGTGGGCTGTTATGAGCTGGGGGATGAAGCAGTTGAAGGGTGTTGTTGTAGGATCGGAGGAGGCGACGCCGAGATTGCAGGCTCAGGAGTTGGTTTTGGTGGAGAATTTGAAGGTAGGTTGGTTATCTGGAGTTCGTATATACATGCTGACGATTGGTGTAGGAGGCTGCAGATCGAGTGGTTAAGAAGGCTACGGGGCATAATCCGTCGAAGACAGATTTGGTCTACTCTAAGGAGAGCTTTGTGAGTGAGTTTGCGGGTGTTTTGGAGGAGGGAAGTCGGCTGTCCGACGCGGATATGGACGTTCTATTGTTATATCTGTCTCGCGATAGTGGTACCATTGCCTATGATGGCAAGGTATGTCTATCTTGTATTTTCATCCAATGCAAGGCGCTAATGGTGATGCAGACTATCAAGTTCAGAACCAGTGATGCCCCGAAAGAGATCACGGAGCAGGATACCGCCATTGCCTCTATCAAAACGCTCATGTCGACTATGTCTAAACAGGTGGAAAATCTGGAAAACAAGATCGTCGAACTTAATTCGACTGCCAAAATGGCGCTGCAGAATAAGAACCGTGTTTCTGCGCTCTCGGCCGTGCGCTCGAAGAAGCTGGCAGAGCACAACCTGAAGCAGAGGCTGGACACTCTAATGCAACTTGAGGAAGTCTATTCCAAGATTGAGCAAGCCACGGATCAGGTTCAATTCGTGAAGGTGATGGAAGCAAGCACCGGGGCCCTTCGTGGCTTGCATTCTCAGATTGGCGGTGCCGCGAGGGTCGAGGATGTGGTGGAAGAGTTGCGTGACGAGATGTCCAAGGTGGACGAGATCGGAAACATCATGAACGAGGCTGGCCCGCAGATTGATGAAACTGAAATCGATGACGAGCTGGAGGAATTGGAAAACAAGGAGCGGCAAGAGGTGGAGGAGAAAGAGGCCGAAGAGACCCGCAAGAAGCTCGCCGAACTGGACAATCTCGAGCAGCGCGCCAAAGAGGCTGCACGCACAGCGGCAGCGGAGCAAGCTGTCGATTCGGAGTTAGAAGAGCGGCTATCCCGGATGTCTGTCGAAGAAGGTCCTGGAACCACTGCTTGACGTGTAACGCCAGAGCAACCCTCGGCGGACCTCGGAGCCTGCGCAAACCGCATATTCTCGGCGCAGTATTGCGGGTGCCATTAACTTTGCGCATTGCTCATGTGCATGTCGCTTGGCCCCTGGGATATCTGCACTTCGTTCTCTGCGATGCTTACGGGTTTGTCTTCTACAGGCAACTTCTCCATAGGTTGGCCATCTTCTGTCGCGACGGTGGTTTCGACAATGGGCACAATAGGAGGCTGGCTTGTGCCTGTAGATGCTTGTGATATCGTCGTGCGCACCTGCGCCTCGGTTTTCTTTCGCGCGTTCGCAATCAGCCGCTTGAAGTCATCCTCATGACTCGTTGACCATGCCGTCACATCAAAGTCCTTGCGCATGACGGTATCAGTAATGTCCCCTGACAGCTGTGCCTGACCACCTTGCGTGCGTTCCCAAATATCCAGTTCTCGCAGCAATTCTCGTTTGGACTTAGGCGTTTTGGAGTCGCAGTTTGCGTTCCATAAATTCATCCACTCGGTATGACGCCGTTGCAGGAGGGGCCGTGGGCCCGTGTTTGGTATACCCAAATCTTTCAGCTTTTTCCGGAGTACAGTATCTTTTAATAGAGAATAATTTATTATCGGGAGTCTTTCGGGTGGCTTGTTCACGAGATCTTTCGGTTTCCGCGACGCCGGCGACATAGGCTGTAACGAGCTGTACTTGTAGTCAGATGCTATCCTGTATATAGAAGTTATAAAGCTGCCTTACCCGAAATTCAACTGCTTCGATGGCACTGGTTCCCCATTGCAAATATCTAAATGCCGAAACACGGCTTCATTCTTCATCCTCCGGTTGCAGATGGGGCACGCGACCAGTCCATCCTCTGAATGGCATTAGCACATGACGCAGGAAGGCCAACAATTCCACATACCCGGAATGTATTCCTCATCATTACTATCCTCGATCACCTCAATCGCAACCGGGTCTTCCTGAGAGCCCACCCCGCGGGTTTGCGATCGTGTCCTCACGCCTTCCGAAGGCGTCGCCGCAAGTCCTTCTGAAGCCTCAATTTTTCTTTTCTTCGATGCGGGCTCCTCCAAGTCGCCATTAACAGCCTCATTTTTCTGCACAGCAGCCTTCTTTGCCAAACCCAAAACACTAGGTCTAGCATTTTGGAACGCCTCGACCAGTTCTTGGACAGCCCAGTTCCTTCGCAACTTCAATTCTTGATCCGCGCTCCGACACGCGGGACATTTCCCTTCCGTACTTAAACACCGTCGGATACAGAGCGAGCAGAAGGTATGGCTGCACGAGGTGATCACTGGATTGTCGAAGAAATCCTTGCAGACCTGGCATCGGAGGGAGGACTCGAGGGGCGCGACCAGTGACAGTGGTGTGCCAAGCCAATCGGTCGAGTCGGGGAGGTCGAAGGTCTGCTCCATGGAGTGGATATATGGGGTGATAGTACTATCGATGGAGCATCGGATGGGCAGCGAAGTAATCTAGGAGAGGCGATGTGAGGGGTGTTTCTGGGGTTGTAATGGTCCCGATTGCGGGCTGGCAATGATTATTGTGATGGGTCGGAGAAGAGCAGCGACGCCAAGACCAGCTGACTGATACGCGTAAAGTGGTTGAGGACGCGTCGTCCTGTCTACTCCGCATCGCAGCTGCTCTGATCCCGCAATTTCACCGCACAATTGAGAAGCTGCTGTCGGAATGGCCATCGCAGACTATAAGAAGTATCTGGCTGAGAATGTTCTCAATGAGCGACGCACGGTGAGTAAGCCCGCTCTTTTTCTAGCTCACTGTTCGCCATCGACTAACAAACAATCCGCGCATGCTACAGGTCACCTACCGATCCCTAGGTCGAGCTCTCCGGGTCCATAGTACATTGGCTAAGCAGTAGGTCTCTATCCAGCCAAAACAGCTCTATTCATAACTTCTCCTAATCGCGACCTACAAAGGATGCTTTACGATTTCCACCATAACGAGAACAACAAGAAAACGAACAGCGTCAATGCGACTTACATTCTTACCGGAGTCCAGAAAGCACCAGAACCTACGTCTGCAACAAATGGGGTCCAGGACAGTTTTGACGAGAGCAATGGAATTCCACAGAGTAGCCCGTACGTGAGCAGTTCGATGCCGAACCAGGACGCCGTTGCGGATGACATTGCAATCTCCTCGGTATTGCTGGTGCGCGAAGAGGACTTGGAAGGTACATTGTTCCACTGCATTGGCATTGTACAAAGGATGAACCCTTTTAACACGACTCGCAGATGCCAAATTGACATTCCAAGCTATTTCATCGATATATGTCTACAGTCTTCAACCTACCGTGCTTCAGGATCTCAATGTCTTGACGGATGTGGCTGGGGAAACGGTGGCCAACCATGCCCAGGAAGATCCCTTGGAGTACGGCACATCCTGGGGTATGATTCAGGGTAATAATGTCAGGGTATGAGCTGCAATGGTATCCCACACAAGTGCTATTCTAACACGACCGGTACCAACAGAGAAGAACCGGTGGTCGGCCGTCTGTCACTGCTACTGCACCAGCACCACCCAAGACGACGATACCGGCCAAACGCCCTATCAAAAGCGAAGAGCCACCCCAACCTAGGACAGAGTCTGAGGAGAAAGCCCCCAAGGTTGAGCAAGCGACTAAACGCGAGGAAACTCCAATATCTACCAAGCCCACTGAGAAGACAGCCCCGCCCAAGCAGAAGGGCAGTATTTTTAGTTCATTCGCAAAGGCTAAGCCGAAGCAGAAGAAAGAGGAATCGGCAACACCGGCTCCATCTGGGGTCGAATCGGTCAGTACAACAAAGCCTGATTACTTAATTTGAAGTAGCTGACAATTACAAGGCTGGTCCCAGTGGTGCCGAAGATGGTTAGTGCTCATCGTCTTTCGGCATATATCACGGAGGCTAATATGTCATAGTGGTACTTGGTGATGCATCAGACGAGGATGAGGAGCCCGAAGAGCTCTTCCCAGACTCAGGGAAGTCTGCGCCCATTGGCAGTCGCGAATCACGAAAAGAGCGTGAAGAGAAGCTCAGGAAGATGATGGAAGAAGAAGGTACGTTCTGCATTTCGGCCCTTCTGCAGTATTCTGTGACTGTCCCTCACCGATATCAGATGAAGACGAAGAAATGCCGGATGCTGCGCCATCACCGGAAGAGTCGAAACCCATCGACGAACCTCCCCCGAAGCAGGCTGAACTTAAAGAAGAAGTCACGGTTAGAGGCGGTCGTCGCAGAGGCAGGCGCCAAGTTATGAAGAAGAAGACGGTTAAGGATGAGGAAGGCTACCTTGGTGAGATTATCCTTTTGTCTATGCATGGACGGCTATTGATTTCATCACTTCTAGTGACCGTCGAGGAGCCGAGCTGGGAGTCATTCTCAGAGGATGAGCCGGCACCGCCTCCGAAGAAGAAGCCGGCTGTTAGTGCGCCCAAGGCTAAATCAGCGGCGAAACCAGGGCAGGGCAACATCATGTCCTTCTTTTCAAAGAAATGAACGCCATCATTCTCTCAGGCTGTCACCGAAACAAACTGCTGTATGCCTGGCGACTATTTGTCTGGCTTGGACATAGATACCGTTATGCCACCGTCATACGCGAGTTAGCATTGCAGCAGTCTAGTCGTTGCAATCAGCTCACCAGGCCTGACCGTGGGTTTCCGATTCAAACTAATTGCAAGATTCTTGCCTGCTCAGGCAACAATAATCTTTACGAATCCTCGGTCAACATCTAACCCGTGTCCTTTCATACATACAAGCCTCCTGTAGCTCAGCGGTAGAGCGCCCCACTTATTCTTTGGAATAATGCTAGGGGAGGGCCGCGGTTTAAATCCGCGCAGAGGCAATATTTTTTGCCGCCCCTCCCATAGTCAACTAGCCAGTAAAATTATCGATGATCATCCTGTAGTTCATTGATAAGATATCCTACATCGAACATACAGACACTCCATAACCTTCCTGCAAGCCCAGTAATACCGATATGCCCTCTCATATAGACCCAGCTCCCGATTTATTACCTAACAGCCCCCATACCCCAGTGGTAGAGCGCTCCCAATCGACATAGATATCTTCAATGAGGCTCTACAGCAAAGTCCCACTAAGTGGGGCCCTACGGCAAAAATACGGCCACTAAGAGTTGGATGTGGCGGGTGCTGTCTCCTATGTGGATACATTCCCCACCGGTCGGATCCACCAAGGATAGTATATCCGATTGTCATACTACTCCTTCCTATACAAGCTACAATCAATCTTACAACACAAAATCCTCACTCAAATTTCCTCATACAGCGCTCGATTTAATCTATATTACTGTTGAAACATACAGGCTTTATACACAGTGTCTTCCCCCTATACGGAGTCAATACTAAATCACTAAGGTACCCATTTCACCAACACTCAGTCCATATCCTCCAACACTATCCATCCCCTGTAGCTCAGTGATAGAGCGCTCTCCCTATTTTTAAGGCCTATTTTTAGAAGACGGCTACGGTTTGAGTCTGTGCAGGGGAGAACTGTGGGTGGGTTTGGGGATGAGTGGAGGGGTTGGAGGGATTGGAGGGTGGAATACCTGATGTTGATGATATTGATTCGGGATGGGGATGGGGGCCTTAGACATGGTCACTGGGGGGTTATTTATCTATCTCTAGTGGGGTTATTAAGTAGTGATGGCTGTGGAGGAGGAGGAGGAGGAGCGGATAGATAAGAGGGGTTGTATGTTTGGTGAGGAGAGATTTGGGGTTGGTCAATAGGGAAGCTGTGCAGTAAGGAAATTGTGGACTGATGGATTGCAAAGCAGCGTAGAAGGAATGGGCCTGGCAGAGCTTTGTCACTCAGGGTCCCTGGAAGGTTGTTAATTTGAGCTCTCTTAGAAGGCAAGTTCTGCACGAAGTTGAATTCAATTCAGGACCAGGGCTGGGCTATATGGTGAATATTTCAAGGTTCTGCTTGTGAATCAGGTAGCACGTGCTTAAGTACTGGAGAATGGGTGGTATTTACATTGGTTATGACGGTTATTGCTCTATACTATTTCTAGTTCGGCATGTCGAACTTTCACTATTCCTGTACGATATTTCGGGTGCCTTTACGTATGGGAGATAGAGAGGCTCCGAGTCAGGTCGCTGGGTGGAAAGTAAAGGCATCCTTTTACGGGGTATTTTCATGCTAAGGCTATACAGAAACTACCAGTTGTATATTGTTCGTGCTGTTTTCATTCAAGGTCTGCTATCTGATACGTCGATCTCAGTCTACAAAGGTCGCGGCCAAGGACACCCCTCATAGATGGTCACCAGAATATGAACCGATGTACTCGGTAGTCTCCTTGAATTTGGTGGTCCTTACCGCCTCGGGGGGTTGGATTCATGCATAACTGCCGGTAGTCAATACAAACTTGGCTAGCCAGCTGGGGGCTCTAGGATTCCAGGATCAACTAAAACGCTGGGCAGAAGAGGCGCAGGCTGTGTAAAGAGGTCCGGTCGATGATGATGGCATCACCCCAATGTCCACCGGAAAGACCGAGAAGACCTGAGTTTTACGCCCTTGTGGGGATCTCCATGTCTGGGAAGCAACGAGGATTACCGGGATCTGGGGCTTGTATCACATGGACAGGAAATCCTGAAAGCCTTTCACGAGATGATCCAGGTTGCGCCGCAGCCCTGGTTTGGATCTAACAAAAGTTCATAACTGTAAATGCACACCACCAAGTATACCAACATATACAAAGTTGGTACTCGATTGATTGCCCGCAAAATGCTCTTTGCAATGATCAAGAGCTTCTTTCCCAACCGCCTTCGTAATGTACCTCTGGCGTTGCGAGGTACGCTTACTCCCAATGAAGCATGAGATCCGGAGTCGTCGCTCTTTCGTCAGATAGCTGATAGCTAGATTGGCCTGCAGGTTGGAATTCTCGTGAGGGCCCACCTGGGAGTTTACAAAAACAGTGCTGTATTCTCGGCCGACTAAAACCACCTTGTTGAGCACATTTGCCAAAACCTGGGTGGAAATATTCTCCTTAGGCAGTGCGTAATCTGGAGGTTGGGAAACGTGATGCAAGCTTCATTATACAATCCAGGTTCTCGAAGGTAATAATCCCTTTTGCAAGAACTGTAGGATCCATATTGGAACTGCTTGTAACAGAATGGAGGGTGGTGAGCGATAGGCAGAGCTGGTAGAATACTAGATCACCTTTATATATCCCATGATGTAGCGTTGTTATGTGCGCGGTGGAAGTGCAGCTAATCACTGCGCTTTTTGCCTACCTCCTACTGTGACCCCGCATATCATGGTTATAGTAGTCCTTCCAGCATCTCTTACCCCCTCTTGACTTACTTGGTCTCACTGCAATCCATTCTATCTCATCACATCTTATCCTTGCGGCTTTTCAAAGGTTCTGGTGGATTTAATAGTCTTAGAAATCCTAGGAATCTATTGAACCTGACTTGCAAAGCTATCGATGCTCTCCAGTCACATGGTTAGCCTGGGACTAGAGACTAAATGGCAGCCTCCCAAGCCTGTAACCTTAGGCTCGTTATGCGGTCTTCAAACTAGAAATCACCAACGTCGAGGAGCAAGCGACTGGATACTAACACGCATCATAACTGCAGCCCAATGTTGAAAGAAGGACTCAGCTGTTCAGACATAGGCCAGGATTTCTACACCACTGCCCTTCCGTCTGCACAGTATGTTCTCGGGTCAGCCACCTGCTATCGACCAAGTGGCACCGCACTCTTCAATTTCAAGCAAGACACTCTTCCGTGGACCGTAAAATGTGTCTTGCATGGTTTCGCGGTATCATGAGCCTCACCTGGCTGCTGGTTCTGAATGAACATAACTAGGCACTACGAAGGTGAAAGGGTCGGGCTTATACACCGATCAGCGATCTCTTGAACATCCGAAACCCAACCTCAAGGGTCCTACTTGTATTGAGATTCTATACACTGTGTTTTGATTGTGAATGAGAAAAACTGTGGTCTTTCTGGATTGAAAGGGCTCGATGTACAAGCCTTGCTGGGTGTACTGGCCTGTAAGTTCTTTCAGATTTAAGGAAGTCAGAATTCAACATTGTTTGATAGCAGATAGCTGTGCTTTGTCCATAGCACTTTGATAGGAAAGTGCATGTAAACTCCGATGTCAATCTCTGCTTCACATCATTATATCCGTCCCTTACAATAATAAGGAAACATTTATTAACCAGGCTATTATCAGTACTTCCTGAACATCACAGCACTTCCTTTTCAGTCAATGGATTCTACATATGTTCAACAAGATAGATTCATCAGCTCTCAATCAAGGACGTCTTTGATGACCTTACTACTCATAGGGAGAAGCTATATGCCCATCACCTCTGCCAGGTTGCCAGGCTGTCGGGCATGGTAGCAGAATTATCATGCGTCAAACCTCATCTAAGAGCACAGGTGTCTTTGTCTTTATTCTTGAGTTACACAAGGTTTGTCAACGACAAAGGACTCGATTTGCTGAGCAATCTGATGTTCCCGTCGAAGAACTGGATAGTTGTTTAGACTATGATGGGGTATTTCTGTCTAAGCGAACAACTTCTGTGTATGTTACTACACAGCTCTTCCATTTTTGAGAAGCTATTAACTTGTATGGTGTAGGGAGAGGGAGATCGAAGGTTTGTGCCTACTATATCCTCCAGGCTTCTGTGCTGACAAACACGGCTAGAAAATTGTCTAAGTCAGGTCTTTTCATCGTTGCTCTTCAACAAGGTGGTCGCGACCAACTACTGCGTGATCATGCTCTCCATCTTCAGCTACGATGACAACAGCGATATCAGAGCAGAAAATCGTGAGTGCATACCATACCCCGTCTCGAACCTACTTGGCTAACACTTGCTGGTCATCTACAACTTGAATTTCCGTATTGGAGTGGTGAGTCTGTGTGCCATGGGGTATCCTGCACGTGACTGTACGATTCCCCAGAATTATCCCAGCTGAAAGTATAGCGCACTAACTTTATATCAGGCGGAGTACGCTGTTCTAAATACTTCCTGCTTGATGCCGAAGGACTCATGTGGATCGAATGTGATCAAGCTACAGGGACGCTTCATGTGCGCGTTGACCGCAGCAGGGTTTTCACAAGGTAAGGCTTCATCGGCCGTATGCTTCATAAAATTCATATGTGGCGCTGCACTACGGATGTATCTCCTTGCAAGACGCTTTATGAGCCCCTTAGCATTGTTGTTGGTGTGTCCGAAGTCTAGAGGCAGATTGTGATGTCCAAGCCAGACGCGCCCTAAAAGTTTTTCCAGGTGAACACCGTTTTGAGAGATGATGGGAAAGTCGAGCCGAAGATGTATGAGGCGACAACGAGGGGATCATTCAATCGTTTGTCCATCGGTGTGTCTGAGAGCCGGGTAAAATAGACACGGTCGTAGGAAGCCGAGATTGTAGCATGGTCTCTAGATTAGCAGCCGCAAGACTGTGATCATGACGAATGATTCTCTTCCTGGAAATGGATGAATGTAATAACTACTAGAAAACTGCCTTTGAGGGACCATATTCAGGATGGGTGACGGCATTCAGCAAATTGGAGAGACCGGTTTGATGGGTGGAAAATCATGCAGCAATCCGGGGGATCATCATCGTTTGTTTGCGATCTTCCCCGCATTCCGCCCCAACTGCCTTCCTGCCCCTGCCATCCCGTGAATCCTCCAACCCGCTGGCTTTAAAACATGCCGTTGCGCCCCTTTCCTCCCTCGAACGATCAATGGACACCGGCTAGTCTATCTGTCTCACCAAATAACTTTGCCATAACCGCAGAGCCGCTATCCAGCCGTCCCGATGCGCTCGTTGTCGCTGGTCATCACCCTCGCAGCCAGCTTGGGTGCAAGAGGAGTGGCAGGTCGTGATGAACCGTCCATTCTGCGGCGAGCCTGTCCAGACTACACCTCCTATTCAGCTACAGGACAGTAAGGGTCCAATCTATTGGCATATTCTACGTATCAAGTTACTGATATCCTTCCTCTGCTTCAGTGCCCCATACAGCGGCGGTCCTCTGAATCTCCCCTTCCAGCGACCGGCAGTCGAATGCCGGACCTTCGCCTCATCTGCAGTGGAACAGGTCGTCGACGATGTCACCTCTCGCATGGTAGACAAGGACATGGCCCAGCTATTCCGCAACGCCTTCCCTAACACCTTGGACACAACCATCCGCTGGCACACCAACGGCACATCCACCTCAGCGGCCGCCAGAAAGACCAGGAGAGACAGTGCCCAGTGGCAGGGCGCCCAGACCTTCGTTGTGACGGGCGACATCAATGCAGAATGGCTGCGCGACTCAACAAACCAGCTCTCGGGCTACCAAGCTCTCGCAAAGAAAGACAAGGATCTCTATAATCTCATCCTTGGGGCTATCAACACGCAGGCCGAGTTCGTGATCCAATCGCCCTATTGTAACGCTTTCCAGCCCCCTCCGCCCAGCGGAATCCAAGCAACAAGCAACGGACAGCAAGATACCGTGCACCCGGCATACGAGCCCTCTGTTGTCTATGAATG